TATATATATATATATATATATATATATTGCACTGAGTTATTGAAGAAGTAACATCAATAAATAGTGCACTAAGTTATTGCTAAACAAAACATTAAATTGAAGACACGAACTAAACTAAGGTGCGTGTATTGTCCATGTCCATGGGGGTGGTTTTATATTTTTATACATCTAAAGACCAAACATCAGAGCTCATCGTCAGTCATAAACTAAGCATAACTTTTAAAAATTACCTTGAGAACCTATGTTTGTGTTTAATTATAGATATTTGCAAAGATATGTATCCTCCTTGAAGCTTTAATTTGCATTATTTTGCATGCAATAGACTAGCAAAAAGCAAACATTTCATAATTTAGATATTTTTTTCCATTTAACCTGCCTTGAATCAATACTTTATAGAACTTTCTTCTTTTACTATTAAAACGCTCAGTCTTCTGATCTATATCTATACTAGATTTGCATATCTAGATACTAAGTGATTATCCGAAGTTCTTTACAAAACAGCTCAAGTTTAGTTAGATTATACATCATAGAATACAGACCTTGTGAACCCAGTTTTAACATCCTGGCAAAGATTCTCAATTTGATTCATTCCCAGATTTAGACTTTCTCATTCTAACCAGTATCCTTTGGTCAAACCCACTGTTTTAGCTCTATTGATTATTTAGGGTTGTTGTCCTATTGGAAGGGGGACTTTGGTGCCAGCTTCAATATTTCTGCAACCTCTAATAGGTTTCTGTTAGGATTAGCCTAAATGTTATTTGCTCCATCTGCCCTTCAGGTCTGACCAGTTTCTCTACAGCTACTAAACAAACGCATCTCTACAGCGTGACGCTGTCACCATGGGGATGTTATGTTTAGGTGTTGGACAAAATGTTAAAGCTATGTCCCCCAACCGATCAGGACACTTTCCTTCAGATATTTGCCGTGTCCCCTACATTGCCTTGTGCCAATTGCTAAACCAATCGTTTTTTTTGTCTACAGATTCTCCCACTTGAATTTTCTACTCTTGCTGCTCCTCTGTAATAACTCTGGTCTCCTTAACTTCCTTCCTTCTAAATGTTTCTATGGCATTTATATGCTATTCAAATTGCACAAAGGCTTTATTTACAAAGTCAGTTGTTTGTTCATTTGCTTTATTTATGTGGTTTTAGATTAAAATAGTTAAAATGAAAATGCATGCCACACTTTTCAGATTTTTTTGGTGAATTTTATAGTTCCAATTTGTGTAAGCCTGTGACTTGAAATCCCCTTAAAGTCACAGCTGTGTTGTGAAAAAGAGGAAAATTATTTAAAGGGTGTGAATATCAAGAAGCACAGTTTACCACAACCATAATAAATTATTTTTAATTGTGACTGACTTCAAGTTCTTATATTGGTGTTTATAAAATTTGAACTAGTGTAGAGAAAGAGAGAATAGAGAAATGCATAGAATCACAGACAAAATCTTTAGTTGTTTTTTCCTTCTGTTCATCAAGAGAAACATGATAAAAGTGATGAACAGTAACAATAGGTCTCCTTTTCTACAACATTCTTGTGAGAAATCTAAGCATATATGTCAGTTCTATCATATTGCATGGTTCTTTTAACACTGTTTAGAGACAGAAGGCATGTAGAAGTCTTTGTAATAATAATTTACCTGCTTAGGAAAAAGTCTCTTCCAGTCTTTAAAGCGGCTTTCTGATGGTGAGGCACAGGTGTAGGTGTCATTGTCTCTGCAGCCACAGGAAGCAGAGGAGCGCCACCATCTGGATCTTCTACACTTAAATGGTTTAGGGTTACCATGGCATTATTTCCTCCACCTGAAACACACACACACACACACACAGATATACTAGCTGTGGTGGCCCAAATAATTTTAATGGTAACTATGATGTGAAGGAATAATTCCTTTCTACATTCTAGATGCAGGTCCTGAAAAATATCACATGATTTATGGATGACAGTGAGAGTGTCATGTTACCTATTTTGTAGTCAAATGCGGACAAACGCCTAAAGCATAATGGCGAGAATCAGTTTAAAAAAAAACATATAAGAACAAAGAGTAACACACAAAATACCTCAGGACCTTGTCTGCTGATTATTCCCGTTCTTGCTCCATACCTGAAATTTAAGCAGGGAAATGTGCGGTCAAAATGGCTGAAGTTCCTTTTTCTATCTGACTGAACTCTGTCTCTTCCTTCAATAACCCTGGTTGATCATTAACGTGTCAGGCAGTCCCACTACAGCTGGCAGGGAGATGAATGTGTGTGTGTGTGTGTGTGTGTGTTTGTGTCATCAGCTGTCTATTCAATAGAATGCAGTAATTAAATGTCAAGACCAATGAAAAGTTTGTTTAGATATGGGACTGAGAAATATCTAATATTCATACATAGAGTATATATATATATATACACCGTTTTTAGATGAGTATGTTTCTTTGTTTTACTTGTTAAATCATAAAAAAAAAAAATTGAATAACTGCATTTTTTGTGTTCAGTTTCAGTAGCCACACATAGACATAATACATGCCTGATCTGTTGAACCTATAAAATCCAATGAAAAGAAAAAAATATAAAAAGAGATGAAAAACATAACCCTTCACATCTAGCACAATATGCAAACTAGGGAGCCAATCACCTCCTACAAATAGAGAAAGAATGTAACAGCGGTGAACCTTCTCACGAATGGTTAATCCACCCAAATAACTAAAAGAGCTGAATAACAGCTAAGACAAGAGACCACAAAAGAAGCCAGAACAACAACTGAAGCACCGCAGGCTCAACTTACCTCAGTTAAAGTGTGTTTGAATGTAGATTTGCATACATATCACCTGGTTGCCTTAGATATGGTTGTTTATGTTGCAGTGGCACAGAGGAAGTTGTGCAATAGTATTTTTTAAAAGTGTGATTTTAAATTCAAAATGCTATTGAAGAAATTCTGAGCCTCCCTTTCCCTCAAAGACCCAATGACTCAATAATTGTCGATTCATGACTAAGCTGATTTTTATCCACCTCCAGAGAATAGACAAAACAAGCTGCACTAACTCTGAACACTCAGCTTTTCACAGAACTATTGTCTATATAGCCACATACTGTATATCGAGGTAAACGTACATTGCCTTTAAAATTATTTTTTTAACACTTTGATAAACAGGATCAGTAAGAATAGGCTGTTCTTTTTACAAACTAAGCTCACACTATTTGTTTGACAAAGTATTTTGTGGGAGAGTTTTGCTGACTTTGAAATTGACTGAAATAATTTAATTGAAAACTATCCAGCAAAATTTCCTCTGTGCCTGATCTTCTTTTGATACTTGATTGGATGATTGATTGGTGCTTTTTCTGGATTTCATGAAGTTCATGAAAGATATTGGTTGAATTACTACCTTTTGAATGTTTGTTCTGACTCTTAAAGGAGCCGGTCGCATTTTCTTGCTGCTCTGCAACTCAATCTTTTCCTGCTTTTCTGTGTCTTGTCTTTTCTGAGCCTTCTCTTCATTTCACCTAAATTCAAACAGTGGAACTGGTATGCTGGTCTCTCAATGCAATTGATAAAATTTTCTGAACTGGAAGATGGAAAAGGGGACCCTTCCTGTCCTGCCGGGACATACTTCGTAGGATACACCATGGACTTCTGGAAGGCTTGGAGGATGGTGTGTTTTACAATGTTGTCAGTGCAGGATATCGAAGATGTATGGATTTTCTGATTTTTGATACTCTTATTTATCTTGTTTGGATTTGGAGGATACCTGATGTATCTACAATTACAGAGGATGTCGGCTGCAATTTGCGCATTAATCAGGCTGTTGGCAGCGTTTGACGCACTCACAAAGGCTGTGAGTGAGCAGGACCGGGAGCTGAGCCGTATGCTGGGTGAGATTGAACGCAGGCTGGCTGTGGTGGTTGAACTCAAAGGTGAGATGGGATAATATCTTGGATGTGCACGCTCGCTTCAAGGCGGAAAAGCCTAACAAATTTGGAATATTGGGTTTGCCACTTAAATCCAGCAAGAAAAGAATCAACCTCCCCCCCCTTATCAAACCTCCCCTGGATGTTATGGTGGAAGGGCACAGAAGAACTGCAAGGGCTGGTGTACTGTTCGTTTTATATGTTACCCTAATTCATCAGACTTGAATCAATTTAAGTAGAAGGCCTACACCACAGGTTCTAGATACCATAGCATCCTTTGTAAGTATTTAGGCCATTTGGATCAGCTATGTTTCAGCAAGGACAGATCTAAAACCTGCAGGACACTGGCCCCTGAGGACTAGAGATAGACACAGCTGGTTGAGCAAGCACTCATAGAGGAAGCTCATCACAGACTCCTACATCATGTATGTAACTCTCATGGCCTATGTTAGGGTTAGAACATAAACAGGCTACTCTTTGTCAGCCCAGGAATGTATTTACCTTGACAGAACAGTAGTAATACCTATTTCTAGGTGGAAAGAGCCACTATCTCGCTACTCATTTCCAATTCCATCTTAAATAAAAAAAACAAAAAAAACAAAGATGCTAAGACTGACCTGTGATTATGGCGGATCAGTCTACCTGCAGTATTCAGAGCTAAAAACTGTTGCCTCAGACTTGAAGCAACTGAACTCCAAAATGTGTAGCTTGTTCTGCTTATTATCCAGCGAAACCAGTATTGTTATCCACTAAATAGATTTACAGTACCATGAATTCTCCCTAAATCCAAATACAGCAATTTCTAGTTCCTAACTCTTCTTCCTTCTCTCTTCGTAGGGTCAAGAGTAAGAACACCATCATAGGGGGGATAGGATGTCTTTACCCAACAGAAATGCACATGGATGATGTTTATTAAATTGGGACGACAACCTTCTGTTAAAGAACTCTAAAATCCAAAACTACACAAACGTAAAAAAAACAGCTGAAGGTCTCCATTATAAATCCAAAACATATGAAGATGTGAGCATTAGTATGTGTCACAAAGAATATGCATTAAGAAATGCCTTACAATAATCAACCATCATATAACATTCAGTTGGTAACCTTTTGTGATATGTTCCAGACATTAATGTGCAGTAAGTTTTGTTTTTTAATGAAATTACATCTGGGAGAACCATTATGCTTTATAAAACAATCAGATATACTGTATAACTCAAATAAACCTCTTATTTTCACAATTACATTGAGTAGAATTTCTGCACTTTGTCTCACATCGCTGTACTGCAATAGAACTAAATATTTATATATTAACTTTGATTACACAGAGAAAGAAATGGAAAACCTAAAACCCAGTTATGAGCTTAAAAACTGGGTACTAGAGTTAAGGTGCATCTGAAACTGAAATTAGTCATGCCTCTAAAAGATGTAGATGTAAAATTAACTTTATTAAATCAAAACATTTTTCCTTTTGGAAATTAATAAATAAATATAAAAATAAATGAATAAAAGAGGAAAAATTTTTTTCTTAGTTCTGTTAAAAAAAAAAAAAAAATCCAATTCTTTAGATTGTTCTCAATAATGACATTACAGCATTTCATCTTATAAGTGCTGGTATTTTGACCAGTTATCCTTGGTCATCGGTTCCAAGACCTTGTGGAAGGAAACCCTCCATGTCTACTTCCTCTATAGCTGTTTCCATAAATTCTTTATCAGATCTAAGATTGGACTTCCAAAAACACACACAGCACGGACTAATCTACAAAACTAGGTGAATGACTACTCAACATTTTACACATCTGTCTACATGCAAAGGGTTTTGCACAAATTCTATAAACTGCATTTGGTTACAATGACAATAATAATAATAATAAATAAAATCTATCTCTATTTTCCAAGTTTGCAGGCAAATGCATAAAAAAAATTAAAAATAAACTGGCTCATTGTTCTCGTTATGTTCTTCTGTTTTTATGGGATTTAGAAATCGTGTCTAAGGCTTTTTGAGACCTATTTCTTTATGCCATTACTATGTCTTTGCCATGAGTTCAAAAAGGTAATTTGATATTTGCCCTGCTAACCGAAGTGGAGGTTTAAGCATTGGTTTTTAGACATCATGAGGCAAATCTGCTTTTTAGGCCTCATATACTTCCTGATAATAGTATGAGCTTTACATGAGAAAGGGTCTTGATTTTGCTATGAAACAGCCTGGTTTGCTTTTCTTTAGTCATCTTATTGTAGATTTGTTGACGATTTCAGGACATTGCTATGTCTATTGATCTTTTTTGGTCAAGTTTTGGCTGGTTGATAGATTTCATCACATTTGAATCTAGAATATATTGCTATACAGAGGAATTCATGCTTTAATAAATGGATTCAAAGCCTTTCCAGTGTAATGTTGTTAACCTTAAATCATCCGCCCTACACCATCATGCTAGACGACTGGTATGTTGTTTTGATAGACTGTTCTTGTTTCTTCCCTGGCATGGTACTATAGATCATGGATCTGATTCGATCTGCTCAAATCACATATTACCATAATTCTAGGGGTTCTTTCAGATCCAACTTTGCAAATTTAAGTACTGCCTCCACATTCCTTTGTTTACTCTCATATTTTTTTTTAGCTGTAAATAAGTTTTCTCTCTCTAGAATGATCCTCCTATAACTTTTTCTTGTCGCCTTATAAGGACCTTCCTAGATTGATGGGAAGCTACATTTTCTCTTCCAATACTGTTGCCAATGTCTTCCTGCCATGGCATTATGTTAACACCAGAGGCTGCATATGGTTAACACGCCCTTTGAAAGTGCACAAATGGATATCAATTTTGCCATTCTTTTGTTTATGAGTGTTAATATGGTTCAATATTTTCATACATTAAGAGTTAAACGAAAAGCTAAATTTTAACTGGCAATGCAGAGATATTTTTTTATTTTGTCCTGATACAAAACCTGCAGTTTATAGAGGTGGTTTGATTCTACCATGACTATATGCGACACGTTCAAACTATTCATTTGCATTATCAGCCCCACACAGTATTTCCTGTTCCAGCTGTGTAACTGTCAGGAGCAGAGAGAACACAAAACACCCACAGTACAGAGTTATGTTTTAGATTTTTTTTGCAGTCTACCCAACCCTAAAACTGAGACCCTACAACACATTAGGGGGAAGAAAAAAAACAACTAAAAAAAGTACTCCACAATCTTTTAAGCAACTAAATCTTTAGGTTTGTTGTATTCTGTTCATGCAATATATAAGCTGCACGCTGCTAAGAGGGGGATGGGGAAACTTGACTACTGTTTTGCAGTATCCTGATGAACCTGTCTATCAATGACTCACTAATGAGGTATTTTTATTCCCTTATATTTAAGCTTCTCTGCCAGGGCTTCTGAAACATCCTTATCCACAGATTCATTTCTTTTTAAGAAAATACAAAAAAAACCTTCCTTGTTCTGATACAGTCCTTTAATAATCACACTTATTCAGTGAAAACAGAAGAAAGACCACTCATACAACATGGTTAACAATCCCCCGAAAAAGTAACCATGACAACATTTTTTTCCTTTTCACAGGCCAGATTAGATCACAGACAGGCACACGTTTAAAGCACCATTTGTTTCCAGCTTTAGATGGAAGCATAACTTTCGTGTAATCAGTTTGCAAAAGTGAGTGAATAAATGCAACATTAACACATGCAGCATAATTTCAATTATGTGGTGAAATGGTGGTTATTATACCCAAACAGGTCAATTTTTTTTCTGGTCAATTTTTCTGTCTTCATTTGTAACATAACTAATACATTAAAGTAACCATAGGGGCCTGGCCTTTTATTTATTTTTCGTGACTTTCTAATCTAACTTAGAAATCCTTCTTTAATCAATTAATCATTCTTTCCATATTATGTCCTTATAACCCTGATGTATTTTTCCTTGTGGATTTATCCTCACCGTTAGCCTCTAAAGGCCGTTTGTTGGTATTGCTAACCGTCTCTGGCTTCATCATTTCTTGTGCCATAGGATTGTCTTTGGTTGATTTTGCAGGCAATAATACATCAAAAAATGTCTTCTATACCGATGTCTCGTAAGGCTTATTGAATATTCAAGTAAACAGAATTAACACCTAGATGTAATCAGCTGCGATAAAAGATGTGTCTAAACATTGAACATCTTAAAAACAGTTACACATTTTTCCACCAGTTTTTAGAATAAAAGAAAACAACATTGATACAACAATTAATATATATACATCTTACACTCAGAAAACATATATTAGAGCAGATTAACTCTTTAATTATTCATTTTTTCATTTAGCTGCCTAAGTTATTTAGGTCCATAAATGCAATGCATTCCGATGCAGTGCTGGTGAAAAATTTGCATTCACCCACCATCATTGTGTATATGATGATATTAAACCACCTTTTACCAATACTGGAACAATAATACAATACATAACTGTGATGAATTTTTAGTATCAGCACATGGTGATCAGATTTCAATTCAATCTGGATTAACTTTATAACAGGGGTGAAAAACTCCTTGAAAGCCAATATCTTGAAACAAAAGATCCTGTTAAGGATAAGTAATTGATTCAGGAGTGCTAAGCCAGGGACACATCTAGAGGTGCAGGAAACTGGCCCTGGCACATTTACTACAGTATTAAAATAATCTATACTCCCCAAACTCTTATTTGGATTAATTATTGACATTGGGAGATAAATGCACACTTTTAACCCATCAATACACTTAATTTCAGCTGGAATTGGAAGAAATATTTCAACCGCTTGACCTCCTGGTAGGCTCTACAAGTTTTCCTTACACAGTCTGTTTTATCCATTCCAAAAAAAATGTCTATGTTTGGTATTGTTGCTCAGTTTAAACACTCAGTTGTGTCACTGTTTTTCTCGTCATCTCAAATGAAAAAAAAAAGAGTCAGGATATCTAAGGAGAACTTTCGGGGTTAAAGTCTGAAGCTTTACAATATTTACAGCTTACTCAAAAAGAATACCAAGCTTTAAAGGCACAATCCTGTACCCGCTCCCAACAGGGAACGCCTATTAAAAGCGTGTGAGAGCATGCACAAGCCCATTTCTCCTCGTGCACGCTCCGTTTAAAAGTTGCTGTTTGGATTGCTAATACAAGCTTACTTTCCAAAAGATTTGTAGTTTTTCAACTATGTCAGACTTACCACTGGTAAGTGAAAATGGGGACGAGCAGGTAGGACGGCCTTAAACAAATCACCAGAATGATTGACAACAGGTAGGATACGGGTTGGGTATCCCAACCACACTCTGATTCCAAATAAAAATCCATAATATTTTTTGGAATTAATAAAGCAGGTTTTACATTTAAATACTCAGAGTTCGACTGCAGGCAGATCTATTGCCAAAGATCCATCTAATTTAAAAGAAGACATAAAAGGTAAGATCACCATCCAGAATATTGCTGTGTTACGTTGACTGCCGAAAGTAATTTGCTTTCTTTGCAACATGCTGGGATGTATATAAATGAAACAAATATTAGTGGTTATAAATATATTTTTGAGCATGCATACATTATTCTCACTCCGTTAGGTGTAGAGAAAACTCACGAAAAATTCAAAGAAGCTCACCCAATCAATGTTTTTCAAATTCCTAGAAATTGTCTCACTTATTTATACATGATGGCCTCAGGCTGATGATGGTTGGTAAGAGAACCTCTTATTAGCATGAGACGGCTATAAGATGTTTTTACAGATGCTGAGCTGTGATGATCTTTAAAGTTTGTCAGAGCAAAAACCTCTTTCCTTATCATCTCTGCAGGGAGTAAGAGGTTTATTGAAAAGAAGACATGTAAAAGATGGTAGCTAAAACAAACTCTCAAAAAAAGACGAACTCCTTAAGCTGATAGTCACTTTAGGGCAGGTCATGCAGCGAGAAGGTGAAGAGAGGATGCTGTTCATCATCTGATCATTTTCCGGTCACCCACCAAGCATGTGATTGTGTGAAAATGTCTTTAAGGCAAATGTGGATAATTAAATATGTACATTCTTTCTTTTACATGCAGGCAAGATATGTACTTTGTTTTAAGCTACTTTAGTGCAAAGCAGCATTTTTTTAAAGTAATTTATCCATTCAGCAGAAATATCAATCATTCATAAAAAGAATTTTTTATATAATATGAGAGACAGCAATTCTACCTGCTTATACTACTCATTAAGTTAAAGGTGCACATTGTGGAGTTGTTCATTTCATAGAAAGACATCCAAAAACGTTGAAATTCATTTGCATTAAGGTACTGTAAGTGCAGAAAGATGAGGATGGTAAAATTTCTTAAAAAGAGAAATGGTTAAAAATCACATAAAGAGATAATGTCATTTGAAACGTTCACCCTTAAGGCCCGTCTGGAAGGTGCTGCGAAACAGTTTCCAAAATGTTTAAGGTCTTAAAGAAGTCATTGTGCAAGACTATGAGCACTGGAGGCTGAAGCCTGAGCACGCTGCACTACTCCTGGACACTTCTCTCTCTTCTGCAGCTTGTGGTTTTGAAACAAGCCCTCATTCCGTGGTGCACCATGGGTTCCATCAGGGAACGTCAATAGTCCTGGAGAGACAGACAAACCAATCTATAACCAGCCGCAGGGATACAACATTGATATTCCAATCAATAGGCTGTTAGGGCGGTGTAATGCTCTTACCATATCCCTCGACTCGCCCATCTTTGAATTCTCCTTCAAACTTCATGCCATCGTACCGGTTAAAGACTCCTGAACCCTGAAACTTTCCATGAGCAAATTCTCCTTCATACCTGTTATGATTGAAATAAGTTTTTTTTTTTTTTACCCGTAAGATGTTGTAACCATTTTTTTTTTCTACAAACCTGGATCCGTCTGTAAAAAGCAGCACACCAGAACCATGAAAGAGTCCGTTCTCGAACTGGCCTGTGTAGCATGTTCCGTCATGAAACTTAAGCTGGCCAAGGCCATGTCTCCGTCCTGGAATAAGGAACCAGATTCTGCTTAATGCTTCACACAGATATTAGTAATACAGTTAAAATGAAGAACCTTAAAAAGTAGTTCATACATTGTGTTAAGTTAAAGCTACAAAACTTTACTGGGATTTAACGTGATAGGCAGAGCTGTGAAATGGGTTTCTATAAAAAAAAAGTGTAAAGTGTGGGCTCTGTATGGATTTAGCTATTCGTACTTATAACCACCTTTTGCTACAATCTCAGCAGAAATTTTTTTTGGCCCAAATCTTGTTTGCAATGCAGCTTCAGTTAAATCCCAAAAGAAGAATTTATTGTAGAGCATCAGTGAATATCAATGTGAAGATAAATTTTCAAGTCTTGCCTCGGGTTCTTAGTTGAATTTAGTACTTGACTTTGACTAGGCCAATGTTCAGATATAAAGATGTTAGGGAATTCCCGATCTGATATTAATATCAGACATCGGTCGAATATTAACCAAAAAACTGATATCAGATTTTATTGAATGCATGTACAACCTTCTATGTTTTCATGCTGATAGAAACACTCCCCTTCTGTTTAAGGTTTCAGTACCTCTTTGGTTAATTTTTATAGGTCAGTTGCTTTCATACCTTTTGTCGTTGAATTTTGTTCCGTTTTAGTAATATTACTTGACCAACATTCTACACTATTAAATAAGTTATAAAAGCTGTTATTATTCATGCTAATATTGTTACAATATTGGTGTCGGCCAGTTCTCAAAGCTGCAAAATCATCATTGTATCGGAAATTTAAAAAATGAATTGGAAAACCCCTAAAATATGTTCTGATTAAAACCGTTCCATTCTTAGCCTGGCTGTAAGGGTTAATCTGTGGGAAAATAAAACCCCTCCTCAACCTGAAATCTTCTAACAGGTTTTCTCACATTATTGTATCCATTCATCTTCCTATCAGCTTTGACCAGCTTCCATGTTCCTGCAGAGGAAAAGCCTCTTCGGCCCAAGATGCTGCCATCACTAGGTTCTACAACGGGGATGATGATTTTGTCCCCGCACCAAATGTGTTTACAGGTCAGACAAAAAGCAAACCACTTGGCTGTTCCCTGATTAATGCTCTCTATTCCTGGCATGTAGGTTTAAATGGAAGGCTGTGTCTTTGTCAATTTAAACCTGTGCTACCCTCTTAGCTGCTAATGGATTAAACCGTGGTCTAAGCAGAGACTCTCAGGGTGTGTTCAATTTCAGAGGCTACATCCTCCAAGGACCCGGTCTACCTGGACTGGATCCTTGAGGTACATGAAAATAAGGAGGCCGGAAGTGTTTTGGCTATGGACTCAAACAGGTCCAACCTTCCCCGGCTTTCACCGTCACTCAGCGTACGCGGTGTCCCCTAGCAACTGTGACCGTTGACACACAAAGCAGCCAAAGAATGGATGCTGAACTTCTCACTACTGCTCTGGGTGCTAATAACATTGTGGAAGAGCTTCAGCAGCAGTACTGTCCTTGCAGATATCAGACTTGTAGTCCCCACACTGCAGAGATATTGGAATCTCTGTGCTTAAATGTCAACCAAACCCATTTACACAGGGACAGATAAAACCTTTCAATAAACCAAACATTATGCGCCACATATCTGACACAACTATTTTCATTAATTTCAGACGAGGTCTGCACTTACAATATTCACCACTGTTTGGTGGACCTCCCCTTAAAAACACGCAAAAAGAAGACTGCATTAACACATAACTAGGAGTCTTCCAATCCAAACAGGCCTCGGCACCGCACTATGACGTAATCGGCCAAAGAATCTGGCCTTCAGAGGATGCAGCTGCTGAATTCCAACTCAGCATGTGACTTCCGGGACCTCCGTCTCTGACTGTTCCCCAATCATCTTTGCACCAATGGTTCCCCCTGCAAGTGGTAAGCTCACTGGGGATGGCCTTGAATCACTGCTTCGGGCTTGGCCTGGCCAGGTCCCGTGAGGAGGAACCCGACCACCAGGCGGTCACCAACAGACCCCAGCCCAAAGCCTGGCTCCAGAGTGGAGCCCAAGTTCGGCTGTACCGGGTAACGTCACATGTCACCACATTGTCTGACCCATCACTCGGAACCAGCTTGTCTTGGGAGACCCTACTAGGAGCATTTCAGCCGCAGACAACATAGCCTCTGGGATCATAACGAGCACTGAAATCATGTTCAGGTGGCAGTTTGGGGAGGGGTAGTTGGTAATTAAAGCAGTCTATTCAAGCAGTCTATTCCTGTTTTCCCTGATTTACACAATAGGATCCAACGTTAGTACAAAGGTTACAGAGGTTATTTAGTTAAATTTGATTCAGCGATATCTTGCAACAGTGTCTATGATCTATGATTTACAACATATATACTACTGTAACATTATACCTTAAAACGTAAAGCTGAATCTTACTAAAAAATAAACTTGATGGGAGTTCCTCATCATGGAAAAATGAGAGCTGCAAAAATTTAAAGACAGGGACTTGGTGTCCTATATGGTTTAACTGACTGACTTTCTCTTTAGGACTGACTGTACAGACTCTTACAGAATCCTGAGTCTATGAAGTCTGGAGCAAAGAGGATTTGCTCACAATCAGGGTGACCAGTGGTAGCTAATTGGGATTTATATAAATAGCTTTAACCTGCAAGTGTTTGTGCATGTGAGTCTTTCAACAGATAAGTAACACTATCACATTCCCTGGGTGTGAAAAGAATTCTGACACCAATGCTATGTTTTCAAATAAACAGTTTGCTAATAAACTGAGAAGCCAGCATAATTAGTACACACTGGCTTTTCTTGATGTTCTTGATTTGAGAAAATAAAAAGAAATACATACCATGCAACTATTTTATAACCCATTAGTTACAACGGATCCAAACGTTTCCTGAAACTAACTGTTCCTGAAAGCAGCCTGGACCCTCTGTATGTTTGGATATATTTATCTGAGTCAACAACTGTTCTTGGTGATGAAGAACAAAATTCATAGAAGTTATCTTTATGGTGCCTGTGTTAAAATGCCAAGCGTGATAACAAAGATGTATCTATTTAACTGTTTTTTGTGTTGTTTTATGTTTGTTTTTTTTTCTACACTCAGCCTGCAATAAAAATTTAAAGGTGTTTTCTCCAACAAAGTCAACATTTAACATCTAGGCTCCTTCTGGGATTAAGTTTTACACAGTTTAAATAAATAGATGGCATTAAAATCATGACGATCCCCTGTTTATTACCGGTATTTACAAAACACTGCTCTAAAATATCAAGGAAAGAATATATAAATAAAAAGGAGATAAGCTTCTTTTATGGAGCTCCTTTCCCCTCCATAAAAGACATTTCATCCCAGCACTGAGTGTTTCGAGCCCGTAACATCATCAATGACCCCTCAAACCCCCATCGTGGACTGTTTTCCCTGCTGCCCTCTAGGAATAGGCTTCACAGCATTCAATGCAGGACCAGCAGATTCTGTAACATCTTGCTCTCTGCTTCTGTCTCCTTGAACCCCAGTCGGCCTCGGCAGATGGCCGCTCACACTGAGCCTGAGGTTTCTTCCTGTTAAAAGGGAGTTTTTCCTCTCCACTGTCACTACAAGCATACTTAGTGTAAGGGATTTAATCCGAGTCAATGAATCGATGCAATCAACTGGTTTTCCTTAGATAGAAAACTTTCAACCAATTTGACTGTATAATCTGGTGAACTGTAAAGTGCCTTAAGATGACGTGTTGTGAATTGGCGCGATATAAATGAACTGAATTGAATAGATACTTTACGTCCAGATCTTTCCAGAGTTAAAAGAAGATGTATTATAAAGGAAGTTTAAATAAAATGTTGTTTAATTTGAAGAAGCATTCTAGATTTTTGAGGAGAAAACTGACTGCCTTGTTTCAATTTTATAAAAATAGAAGTTTAAATATTTGGAGAAACTGGGTTTTCTGTTAACAAGTGGAACAGGGACACCTTACCTTCTTTCCACTCACCATGGTACTCCTCCCCACTGGCATAGGTAAAAGATCCTCGGGTCAAAGTCATGGTGCTCCTATTTAAAACACAAAAAAATACACCCCTTCACATATAAAATACTGGTTAGTTGTTTAAAACTGATTATAGCGCAGACGCATTATGAGAATATTGTGTATATTGTATTTTGTTACTGGAACGCATGGTTAGTTTTTCTATTTTTTTTTTTTATATACAGAAATAAAAAAGTAAAAACTAACCATAGTCATACTTTACAAAGTATTGGTTTTTGATACAGCTTATCCTTTTAGACTGCTTTAGTTATGTAAGCAGCATCCTAAAATGTTTTTCTGTTTCTATGTTTTGAAACCCAGTAAATAAATACAAGAGGTTGTAAAAAATAATCTAAATATAAACACAGGCAGGCCAACCATTGTATTTATAACTGGTATCCTATTTGCAATTCTTGCAAACCTTAAGGGAATTATCACTATTGTTAAATTAATCTAAAATGCATTTGATAATCTTAACATATAGATAAATAGATAACTGTTCTTACAAATGTATTGAGTGCAGCGCGTGTGTGTAGAGCATATATTGTAATAAATATATATTACAACACAATCAGACAATTATTACAGTGTTATTAAAAAGAAACATGAGGTGGTTTTACTGGATGCCAGTTAGGTGTAATTCTACACATGCGACCGTCTTCAGATAAATAATTCATCACCCAAAGGCTCAATCGTTCCCATGCAATATTACAACCATCCAACTAAAGCTGTCAATGGATCGATCCATGCAACGCTCATAGCGACATGTTGCTGCAAAGGCTGTTGCCTTGACTGCAAGCCGAGCCCATCCAAATTTAATAGAAGACAATAATATCGATAGCTTTGTATATGTAAGAGTTATAGAGAGTGGGCACCTAAAGGGAAATCCTTATTCACCTTTACTCAAAGACCGTCGCCTCTGAAGCATTGGAATCACCGTGTAGGACCAGAAGGGGCGTAAAATAAATGAAAACACTGGCTGATAAAACGGCTGCCGCATTCACAGACTAACCGGAAATTGTGATTCCATGTGGTGAACAACGTAACTCACTTTAGTAATTAGAAGCAAATGATAAGGAGTTAAGTGATTTGATGTATTTTTTTTTTTTTTTTACATTTGTCTAACAGTAATGTAATAAAGAATTTGTTGTATAAAGCTACCTTGTCCCATATCAACTTGTAACAAGCTAAATCTGGAAGTCCCGACTGTTAGTGAAGGCAACATTCACTGATGGTGCAGCAGCTGACAGGCAGGCAGAACAGATGTATAGTGTAGGGCTTTTGGTACGGAAGAAGATTAGGGCCACTGAAAAAATAAAAAAACTTAACTGATTTTTTAATTTTATTTCTGTATAATATAAGAAAAAAGTCCGAATTCTGAGATTAAAGTCCGAATTCTTAGAAAAAAGTCTGAATTATCACCTTTTTCTCAGAATTCTGACTTTTTCCCCCACATTAAACTGATATAAAATTTAAAAATCTGTTAGTGTTTTTTTTTTTTTTTTCAGTCGCCCTACTCCTCTTCTGTATTTTCGACCTGGAGAGATATGTCCATTTTTTTTCATCAAAATAATCTCAACATTACTTAAACATATGAGAATGTTTTGTTTTGGATGGAGAAATCTGAACTTGTCAAAACAGAATTTTTATATGTTATCAATCTATATATTATTTATGGTAAATATCATATTCACACCTCTAAATATTTACAACAAAAAGCTAATTCACAGATATATTATCCTCTATTAATATCTATATAGAATCCTTAAACTCTAGTTCAAACGCTAAAGCCATGCAAATTATAACCGCCCTTAAAGAATTATAACCCTCGAGCATAGATTTGATTTTGTCATTTTAAAATAATAGTTATTTTCTGTAAAGCCCTTTGTTGTTGTATATGTTTGTGATTATTATTGTTCTATATTGTTCATTTAGTTCTATTTTTGCAATTAAAAAAGAGCTTTTTGCCATTTTTTCTTACACAAAATCTATTTATTTATTTTTTTTTTGGTTTTGCCTCTCATAGCTATCTTTGTTCAAACCTTAGTGAGTATTCGTTTTAACAAAAGTCAGTGTCAAGTTCTCAGTGCTGGTTCTGCTTAATATTGGAATCCTTTACAAGTTAAACAAATATATTACCACATTATTTTTGTCACACAATGTGGACAAAATGCTGTTCTACATTGTTAATGATTCATATTGCAAATGATTGTTAACTCAGGAAATGAGCATAATGACCAAATTCCACAGCATTTCCAGTTTACAGCCTTATCCTGAACGTGGAGAATATGATGGAGACCATCTTGGACTTCAGGAAGAACCGGCCTAACCATGCTCCACTGCTCATCAACAGCTCAGCTGTAGAGGAGGTCAACAGCACCAAATTCCTGGGGGTGCACATCACAGACAACCTCACCTGGACTATTAAGACCTCCTCATGGGTCAAAAGGGCCTAGAAGTGCTTGTACTTCCTGCAGAGGATGAGGAGAGCCCACCTGCCCCCACCTATCCTCACAACCTTCTACAGAAGCACCATAGAGAGCATTCTGACCAGCTGTCTCATTGTGTGGTGCGGAGGCTGCAGCTCCTCAGACTGGAAGAACATGAGAAGAGTGGTGAGATCAGCAGAGAGGATCTCTGCAAGCTTCTTTTATGGAGCTCCTCTCCCCTCCATAAAGGACATTTCATCCCAGTGCTGCTTGTCTCGAGCCCATAATGACCCCTCACACCCCCACCGTGGACTGTCTTCCCTGCTGCCCTCTGGGAAGAGGCTTCACAGCATTCAATGCAGGACCAGCTGATTCTGTAACATCTTGTTCCCCGCTGCCATGAGACTGTTAAACTGTTGAAAACTCTAATAACACTTTGTAAACATCATATGTACGCTGCATGGTGAATCTTCAAAATAGAACTCACCTCAATGTTTCTACTGCATTTTGCACCATATCTATTTATCTATTTTTTTTTACACTGCTCTGAACTTTACACACCAATGCCCTTTTGCATCATGTCTCTCCTATACTGTTTACATTTTGATCATGGTGCACTTTATAAATTGAAATTTAAAATTTTCACTGCTAAGCTGCTGCTTATTCACTGTCAGAAAGCTGTATAAACGAAATTTCAATAAAGTTTGTCTATGTCTAAGTCTAAGTTACAACCAAAACAAACTTAAGGGTGTGAGCCACTGAAAAATGGAACCGAAAATATCCCGTCCCTGGGGAGGAAAGTAAGGACTGGATCCATGGTTTCTGCATGTGTTAAACCTTTGTCCATACTCTTTGGCCTTGATTTTGAAAACAAAAAAAGAAAAACAAACAACAAAAAAAAGCAAAAAAAACAAAAAGGATTGCAAAAAGTACCGTAATACAATATAATGTCAGCACTAAAGATTCATTGGGGGAAGTGTTGGCCTAGTGGTTAAGAGCTGTGCGCTTGTGCTGTGAGAAGGTTGCAGGTATCCAGTTTGATTCCCACAGAAAGCCACTCTGGGTCCCTAAGCAAAGTCCCTTAACCTCACACTGCCCCCTAGGCACCACACAATGGCAACCCACTGCTCCTCAAGGGGATGGGTTAAACGCAGAGGTAAATTTCTCCAGTGTGAGATCAATAAAGTTATTTTTTAAATTATTTATGATTCCTTCTTAGTCTGCTTAAACACTTCACAATTTCAGTGAGGCAACAATGGCGGATTCACTTACCAATGTAGAAAAAACAACAAAAACACACACATACACACTGAAAAAAATAAGGCAACTGCTTTTGGCATTTACTTAATCATATTTAGTTACTTTAACACAATTGTTTTATATCCTACCATGCTAACATGAAACAATTGTGTTAAAGTAAATAAATATGATTAAGTGAATGACAAAAGCTGGTTGCATTATAATGTTCACAGTTAAACAATACTAGTATTTGTCAAATAAATAGCAAAATGTTATATATATCGAAGTGAATATTAGCATTAGTTCAATTATGTCAAAGTAAACCAGGAACGACAACGGTAAAAGTTCACAAAGTGACGAGAAATGATTTGGTTCCTATGTTAATTGAAGATGATGAGCTTATTCCTCTCTGCACCGCTATTGCTTATCTTCGCGGACGCGCGCCCGTTCACCCAGCAAAACGCTTCCTCCTGCCGTGCTCGTGCCCGCCAGAGGAAAATAGAAAATGGCGAGTCTGTGCAAAAAGCAGCAATGCACAATCGACAGGCGCGGCTTTCGGCAGGAACTTGACTCTTGGCGACACAAACTCATTCACTGTGTAGGTAAGGAAACTACCAGTTAGATATTTCGCCCTCTTAAGAACTTAATTTCTTCTAGCAGTCGCTTATTTTCGGCGTAAATAACCATCTATTACCGGACCGACTCGGGGCATCTCCGAGCGACTTTTTGTCCTTAACTCTTTCTCTCCTACTGCGGCCAGTTAGTGTAGCTAATGAAGTGTAAGTAACCGCCTAAAGCTGTTTTTTTAACCATTTTTTTCCCCTCCTGGGCCTCTGATGAAGCTATAAAGTACGTGCTGGCCTAACGTTAGTTTGTTTAAAGGGCACCGTGCTTGTTTTAAAGGGAGTGTCAGCGGGTGTCGCGTCGGCTAAAGACGTACCCGTGCGCGCTCCTGTGCTATGATGATACTGTAATTTGGGTGGGGGAGGGCGGCGCTCTCTGTTAGTGATTGTCTTCCTCATATTACCACCACTGAACGTGCTCATTCCTTTGAGGAAGTAAGGAGACCCCACTGTTTCCCCTTTTCACAACATGCAAACTACCATAGCTTAGCAAACTACTACAGTTTAAAGCATCTTAACCCTTTATTGGGCAATTGACTATTTTTGATCACTTGCATAGGTCTAGAGGCACTAGATCTATATCCAGCTATTCAGCAAAGATACTGCTACATGGCTGTACATCTTATTTTGGCATTTGACCAATTAGATGAGCCCTTTAACCCTTTAAAGGGCACTCAGTGAAATACTTTGAAAATCAAAATTTCAAGCAAATAGTGTTGTTGGAATCCAGGACAAGACCTTATTATCTTTACCTACCTTACATTAAAAAATATGGATACTTTCATGGCAAAAATGAATGTCAATGTAATAACAAGAAATGCCAAATTGCCCTGATATATTAAGAAAAATAACATAAGTGCTTCGATTAGAAATTCATGAAAAACACTGAGAGTAAAAGAAACATTTTGATACTGGCACTTACATTTTTTAGTTTATAAACCTAAATATAACTGTTAACTAGGCTTATTAACTTTTTAACTTTACTTTTGAACTTTTCAATTAGATTTTTTACCTTTTTTTTTTTCTTGAATTTTTGTTTTTTACTTAATTTATCATTCAAGGGCTCATCTAATTGGTCAAATGCCAAAATAAGATGAACAGCCATGTAGCAGTATCTTTGCTGAATGGCTGGACATAGATCTGGTGCTTCTAGACCTCACTGAGGGGACAGGACTCAATTTGTAAGGAGTATGCAAGTGACCAAAAACTGTAACTTGTCCTATAAAGGGTTAAAGATATACTGCCTACTGTAAATTAAGTAAAAAAAAAAAAAAAGGTAAAAAGCTAATTGAAAAGTTAATTAGTCTAGTTAACAATTATATTTAGGTTTATGAACTAAAAAATATAGGTGCCAGTATGAGCATTAATGCCTCTAAGGGTATTTTGTACAAAAAAAAGTCTTTTTCATGAATTTCTTACAGAAGCACTTTTGTTATTTTTCTTAATATATTCGGGCAAGTTGGCGTTTTCTTGTTATTACATTGACATTCATTCTTGTCATCAAAATATCCATTTTTTTTTTTTTTTTTATGTGACAAAGGTAATAAGGTCTTATCCTGGATTCCAATAACACTATTGGCTTGAAATTTGGATTATTTCACTGATTGCCCTATAAAGAGTTAACAAGGTTTGCATGATTTTGTTGCATAGTTTATTTTTTAAATGCTACACAGGATCTACTATAGCTCCCTTTTAACTAAA